TCTTCTTAAACAAGTTCATTGAGAGCTTGATCAAATGATAAAAGAGGTGAACGATGGAGAAGTTGACTGCGTATGGGTTCAAAATTATCATGAAGGCTCATTGAAAACTGTTAAAGACAAATCTGATTGCGATACTCTAAAAATTTACTTACTTCAGAAGAATGTTCCCATGATGGTTCTGAAAGAGCTAATTGATTCCATAAACATTTCATTTGGGAGAAGAATTCATTAATGTGCTAACCTGATTCTTGTTTGAGGGTAGAAAGTTGAACCATTAATTGAAATTGTCGAGCCCCATCAGATCCAAAGTAGTGATATAACACCCCTAATTTTAAAAGGATAGTCTCAGTACTTATTTATTTGTTTTAATTGCATTTTTAATTTTTTAATTGGTTATTTAACTAATTGATTATGTGTTTAATAAAATTAAGTGTTACTTGATTATTTGGATTATGTGTCTATGTGTTATTTGTATTCGTCTATGTATTAATTGTTTAATTAGATTATGTGCTTAAATGTTGTTTTGATTAATTGTAAATTAAATGTTTTATTCTATTTTATTTTATAATGTTTTATTTTCTTTTATTTTTCTTTTATGGTTATGGTTAGTAGTAATGGGCCAACCAATTGAGTCCCATGGACTACTTGGATAAGAGGTTGGATGGGTATGGATAATTACTCATAAATAGTTGTGCATGTATATATATAGATATATTTATATACATATATAAAAGGGAAAGTAATTTATTAATTACTTTTATGGTAACTTGGGTATTAATATTTAATTTGATGTATATATTTTATATATTTGTATAATAAGGATACATAGATTTTATATGTATTATTTTTAAGTTACCTTTTAATATTATGGTAACTTTAAGTGTTATTAAATAATATGTTAATAAATAATTGGTTGTATATAATTTGTTTATTTAATAAGGTTAAATATAAATTATATACGTAACGTATTTTAGGTTACCTATTTCAATACATTTTTTTTTTTTTTTTTTTAAAGTGGACTTGGATTGGGAAAAAGATTAGGGTTAATTTATCTAGCCTACAAATATAAAGCTTAGGTTGTAAAAGAGGGTTAAAAATATTCACGTAATATATTCTAGAGAGAGAGAGTTAGAGAGAGAAGGAGGAAAAGAAAGAAAGGAGGAGAAAACCCTGTAGAGAGAAGATCAAGGAAGAAGAAGTTTAGCCTTCGATCCAAAAGTTTAAGGCATGTTCTTCTTCTATCTCTTTCCCTTTGATTCGTGTTTCTGTACATGCCTAGGAAATTCTAGGATTTATTAAACACATAAAATTAAAAAATTATGCATGTTTAATTGGATTAGAACATAGGTTTTATGAAATTGGTTCATATATGTTCTTGTGTTATGAATTGATACATTCATGATTTTGATTTGGTTCTTGTATGAATTTTTACATGTTTAAATTATGTATTTTTCATGGTTGTGGATTGATGGAACGTAGAAACATGCCTAGGATTCCTGAAACAAATAAAGAATGAATGCACAGTGTAATTTTGGGTTGATTCGCATAACAGTGTTCAGACTGTTGTTACAGTGCTCGAGCCTTGGGGACAAAGCTTGAGCCTTGGATGAAAAGCTCGAGCCTGAGAAGGAAAGCTCGAGTAATTGGTTGTAAAGCTCGAGCAATTGGTTATAAAGCTCGAGCAATTGGATTTAAAGCTCGAGCAACTAGGATAAAAAGCTCGAACCTGAAGTAAGATGCTCGTGCCTTGGACAAGGTGCTCGAGCATTTAGGACAAAAGCTCGAGCATTACCTGGAGAAGTTTCGTAAACAGCGCAGTATTGCTTTTTATTGATTCTGAAGGGTCCTGAACATTTAGGGACTAGGTATGGGTTTAAATAAATTTAAATAGACTCAATCTTAATGATGTTTGCTATTTGAATGTTTTAAACAAACGGATGGATTTAATCTTTTAAATTATTATATCAATTTGGATTAAATGTGTAGGATGAATTGGATATGGAGAATGCTTATTTAATGGTATAATAAAATATCATCATGTATAAGATTCAGTTTATGTAGGACATATGATATAGGAAGCTTAAATAAATAATAAGTTATTCCTATTTTGTAATAACTTGATATCATATTATCATGGTTATTTCTGGATTGTTTAATGTATTTCCATAATTGTTACATCAATTATTGGATTGTGTGGTTTAATGCACTAGAATGAGACAGTGGCATTCTAGGTACGGATTAACCAAAAAAGTTAAGTCCTACCTACTTTGTATAAGGGAATGGATTAACTAAAATATTAAGTCTTACTTATATTCAAGTCAGGTCAGCTGAACAAGTTGAATGACTTATAGAGGATTACTTGTAGAGGATTAACTTATACTGGATTATATATATAATTATGGTGCTATGATATGAGCTTAAGTCTCAGGATCAGTGGTTAGGGCGCGTATATCGCCAGGGATGTGTAGCTGGATATAGTGTAGTTGTGTACCCTGGTAGGTCTAGGTACTCATGCCCACTATATGTGCGTTTTGCATGATGCTTACTATTCAGGTTGAGGCAACCCTATAGTCTAGTGAGGTTCCTTTAGTGTGTATTTATATATATATACAAACTACTAGTTATTGTTGGATTAACTAGGATGTATACGTATATCGAATCTCTGTTTGGACTATAGTAGAGTAGAAATTATTTGTGGGCCTGACCCACCATTATTTTTCAGGTGCTCGTTAGGGGTAAAGGTTGTTCGTGCTGAGTAGGGATCAAACTACTTCATTCTTCCAGTTCTACTTAGGAGATTTGTTTATGTTTCAACTTTCAGTTTGGTTTTTCTAAGGGTCCACATAGTATGGATTCTCGAGTTGTATATTTTGGAGAATCAGTTATATCAGAAGAGTTTATTAATTAATGAAAATTTATTCTGAGGTTTTATTATTGGATTATCATTTTAGTTTCTTTTTAGCATTTTATTTATTCTTTTGAAATCTGTATTCGTTTATTACCGATTTGTTCTGATATCTTAGGGTATTCGGACGTAGGCCTGGCCAACCCGCATTCGGAAATCCGGGGGTATCACAAGTGAGAGGCAAGCATGTCCCATACCTCCGTGGTTGTGTCGTAACTCCCAAATTCCATCCCAATTGAAGGATTAGATGTGTTACATAACCATGTGATGATCTTGTGATTGTTATTGTCCCAGTCTTCAACACGTATTGCATAGGCATCTGATGACTCTTCTTTGGCTTAAGTAGGTGATGTACAATCTCCAGTAACATAGGACCATAACTTGTGACTTTTTAGAAAATATCGCATAGATTGACTCCAAAAGGAGTAATTTTCACCATCAAGAATAACTAATATATGGTGAGTAACCTCATTTTGTGCCATTTAAAAACCTCGAATGCAAAAACAGACTGCAAATTCATAATCCGCGCGAAAAACTGGGCTAGAATGGTGTTTTTAGAAGGAAAAAAAAATAATAAATAAATAAATAAATAAATCCGACACTGCTGATGTGGCAGACAGTTGAAGTCTGACATGGCAAAATGGCCCCTGGATGGTGATGTGGCACATGGAAGCGTGTTGAAGCTTGAAGGAAGAAGAAGTCACGCGTGTGATAGCGCAGAGTGGATCTGACGCGTGTCGGCAAATGGAAGCATGTGGTTGGCCGAAAGAAGGTACAGAGGCTTGCGGCGGCACGTGGGGGCGCGTGCTTGCTTCTTTCCGACTGTTTTAATGGCGTCGGGATAGTTTGAGTCTGAACTTTCATCCGGTATGCTCTAAATTGCGAAAGGACTTGCTAAAAACCAGATTCGGACACTTAACAGAATGTATTTTTGATAGACTTATTGGAAGCCACCAACAAATTAAAAATCATAAAATAAAGAAGGCAGATAACTTAGCTCTAATACCATGTTACAAGAGAGAGAGAGAGAGAGAGAGATAAATTGTATATTGTATTAATATGTTGATATAGGAGAGGTTATGTGTGGTGAACAAGTAAATCTTATATATATATATATATATGGTGACTCTATACATAATAACAAAAGTAGGTGAAGAAGAACCATAACCCTAATATACAATAAATTCTAACAATTAACTTTAGAATTTTTTTTTCCCCGTGTATGATGAAGTGATCATTCTCGCATTTTAGATTGACAGCTTTTGTTTGTTCATGAACTATCAATAATCTTAACAATTTTTTTTTTCGTTTTCCCTCAATTATTAGGACTATATTTTCCATCTCCTCATTCTATTTCTATTGTTCTAAATTCTGTGAACAAGGGAGGTTTCACGTTCTGTCGACTTATTTATTATGGATAAATTGTAAGTTTTTGGTCATCAAAATTGATAGCAAACCTTCCATGTAATTTTTGGAATAAGCAAAATTTATCTTGTTAATAGAGCTTACTAAATTGGAAGATTGTGATTCAAATATGTAAATGGTATAATATGCTGCCGCACAGTTTTACTTGTTAGTTGGTGGGAGGATATGATTTTTTTATAAAAATTCAGATTTTTTTTTTTTTTTTTTCTCTTAATGCTAAGTGTTCAACATTCGGCTCACATTCACTAAATTTTTTATTCTATTTTAAGTGACTGCTTATAAGTGACTGCTTACCTTTTTAAGTAATCAATATTCAAATTCCATTACTAATTAATCTATATAGAATTCAGTATTAAATTCTATTTATCAAAAAATACCTTTAAGCAAAAAAGAGACACAAGTAGATTTGTCAAGTTAAAAAACCTTATTTACCGAAAAAGAAAAAAAGGGTTGATCTAAATTAGAGGGGGAATTAATAAAAAATTAATAAATAATACTTACACCTATTTATTAAGAGAGTAAAACTCTCTACTTGTATTGTGCATAAATAAAGAATTAAAAAGTTAAAAAAATTAGCCCAGAGATTGCAGTTCTTTCTCCTCTCACATGTTTGAAAATTTTTGATGCTATACTCGAATACCAACCACATTAAGGTAATAGAATGACCAAATTACCCTTTTGTACACAATTTTCATATTATTTTTTAAAAAGTTGCATATATGAAATCGCCAAATAGGACAAGCTAAAATAACACCAAAACAAGACCCAAGTGAGAGCTTCGATGGTCCATGAAGGAGACCCAACTAGAGTAGCCATAACAACGTAGCCATAATACAAAACTAGTGTAGCCAATGTTCCGCGAAAGTAGAATTATACACACGGCCACAAATAAAGCATACAATGACACCTTTTCCTTTTTTCCCTAAATAATGATACTTTTCATACAGAATAAAAACATAATTGTAATGACAAAAGAGTGAAATAGTAGCATATAATATATATCATATATATATATATATGTGTGTGTGTGTATATGTATATGTATGATATAACAATCAGTGCAATAATAACATATCATGAAGATACTAAGATGGTTTAACGCACTTCCAAAGCAAAGACCAGCTGTGTGTCCTCTTCAATGGCATTATCGGCCAGAGAAACCTGATCTTTCAGTGCCTTTCCTCTGAGGAATGCTTCCTTCACTGGTTTTTTCACTTTCTCTCGGACCAAAGCCTTCAGATCACCAATAGTAGTGGTATCTAGTACACCTGTAGAAAAATCTCCAATTTCAGATAATTTTGCCTTGTAGACTAATGTAGTAGGCCAAAAACTTATATTAAGAGTGGAGTCCTTCTGGATGTTGTAACTAGCCAACTCGCAGTCATTCTCGAGACTTCTGCCAGCAAAAACAAGACTCTGGACCTCAACTGGCAGGCCGAGCTTGTCAAAAAGCTTTTCCTTCACATCTTTGACAGTGTCCTGTCGTCCCACATCAAGAGTGATGGTTTCACCACTCCAGTTCTTAACAAATATCTGAATTGTAGGAGGCAACATTTCTAAGATGCATTCTTCTGTGATGTTATAAAAAGCCAACGTCTTTGAATTCTCGAGTTGCATTCCTGCAAATATCAGATTCCAATCAGCAACTGGGAAACGTACCATGCTCCCAATTATATCTTTGACATCACGAACAGTGTATAAGACCTTAACTTCCGGTTTCATGATTTCTCCAGAAGGCATTTTCACAGAAACGGACAACAAATCTCTAACCAAATGGAGAGTAGATTCATCCTGTATCTCGAGAGAAGCTAAAGTCCTGTTATCTTCAAGTAGCTTTCCAGAATAGATAAGAGTGTACTTATCTGATTGGATCAAAAGCTTTTCCTTCACATCTTTGACAGTGTCCTGTCGTCCCACATCAAGAGTGATGGTTTCACCACTCCACTTCTTAACAAATATCTGAATTGTAGGAGGCAACATTTCTAAGATGCATTCTTCCGTGATGTTATAAAAAGCCAACGTCTTTGAATTCTCGAGCTGCATTCCTGCAAATATCAGATTCCAATCAGCAACTGGGAAACGTAACATGCTCCCAATTATATCTTTGACATCACGAACAGTGTATAAGACCTTAACTTCCGGTTTCATGATTTCTCCAAAAGGCATTTTCACAGAAATGGACAACAAATCTCTAGGATTAAAAACCAAATGGAGAGTAGATTCATCCTGTATCTCAAGAGAGGCTAAAGTCCTGTTATCTTCAAGTAGCTTTCCAGAATAGATAAGGGTGTACTTATCTGATTGGATCCCCTCTTTGGCCTGAATCAATAATTTGATGTTTTGGATGGTATCCTTCGGCTTTGCTTCAACCTCAACGGTTTTCTTATGTGATGGTATGTTGATAAGTAGTTTTATTGCACCCGAGGCTTGGAGAACAAGATGGAGAGTGGAGTTCCTCTTAATACCATAATCAAATAGCTTCTTGTCATCCTGAAGCCGCTCACCCTTCAAGAAAAGCTCCTGAAGATTTTCTGAGATGCCCTCCTTACTACGGAACGTTGCTTTTACATTTTTAATCGTCATCATTCTCTTGACATTCAAAGGAATTGTTTTTATGACCTTCAAGTATATATTCATCTGTAACAAAGCAAGAAAAGAATCAACACATTCAGAATAACTATCACAAAAGTAAATTAGTCGGGTATCAACCAAGCAGCCCTGCTTTGCTTTGTGAAATAAGAAAAGAAACCTTTCGGATTATGTTTAATTAGGGTTGAACTACTGAAACCCAGGTAATTCAAGACTATAGTTGGCATTGACACACAATGTTTCTAACAGAAATAGAGAACAAACTATGCAAACCCAATCTTAGCCGCAGTTCACACATATGTGATGGGACAAATAGAAATATCACGGTCTGTATATAAAATGATCATACTTTAATGGTAAAAGTCAAGGCATGGGAAATTAGACTATGAACTTGCAACCACAAATTACAAGTTGCAATAACATTTCATTTGTGACATAATGGAATGCTTTATGATTCAACTGCAATCTAGCTGTGCAGAAAGCATCTTTAATTCACTTTCTTCAGCATGCACCTAGATAAAATCCAAGCAAGCATTTAAGGTGAGGCCCATGAGCGCTCAACAAAGACTCTAGACTCAGATATCATACACTTCCAGATGTGAGCTTTTCAACTGCCCATGAACCAATACATGGGAGTGGAGTAACTCATTTTGATGCCAGTGCTACTGTAAATGGAACATAATAGAATTATTTTCCAAGAAAACTAAGGACAATATATTCTAAGCCATATGCATCTTCCCCAGTTCCTAAAAAAATAAAAATAAAAATATGCTAAGCGCAAGAGGCATTTCAGAAACGACTTTTTAAGCTTTTGCACCACTATAGACCTTATAGCTCAAACAATTTTAATAGAAATTATGGAAAGCATTTCTAATAAGATGACCACCATTCTTCCTTCTATAACAAAAGAACCTCTAAAATGAATATACATTCAAATACAATCTTTTACCACTGCTTCCTGACATTCTAACAATCAATTCAGCACCCAAATTGGCTATTGAAAAGAGCCGGAGAAAATATAAAGCAAAGAGTAATTTTATCTTTAATAGTATTTTCTAATAACAAATATAAACCAAAGAGCTGGTCAGACATTGTTTAAGACGAGATTAGAGATTAAAGACCCGATGACAACTGCTGAGTTGGTTGTCTGAGTCCTTGAAGGTCATGCTAACACAACCACTTCTGACTTCACTAGTGACCATTTGATAGTGTTGTTCACATCATTTGGGAATCAAAATTGTTTTTCCTTTCCTTTCTATAGGTGGAATCAACTTTTGATGTTCTTATTTTCCTACATTTTCTTGGCAACCAAACAGAGCATTAAAACCACATACAAAACTACAATGTACAATTTGGTAGGAACCTAGTAAATAAAATCTCCAACTATAATCGTCAATATGAAAAACCCAAATTAAATAAGTACCCGTCAAAGAAATGACATCAGAAACCATTATGATGGTAACTTCAAGCCAAAACTTATTAGTCAGTGACTTACATTTACCACCCAAAAATAAAAATAAAAATAAAAAAACCGTATCAGTCAGTGTAGATGCCTAGAAAATGGAAGGACAGGCAAGAAATCAGAACGTTTAAATCATAATAAGTTCGTCAGTTTTCAAAACCCTAAAGAACATATAAGCAAGCCTGATACAGTGACCTCACTAAACTGAAATTCTCCATTTAGAACGGATAGAACTCAAATTAAATTTCCTCTTTTCTTTTCCTCATTTTCTCAGCAACCAAACGGAATAAACTAAATAGAAGAAGAGGAACAGCAAGAAAAATGAAGATTTAACAAAAATAAAATCATACAGTAAAAGTAATCAGATCAAATAGGACGATAAAAGAGAGAATTTCGACCTCCTCTTCACTTGATTCCATGAAGAATTTCGAAACCCTAACCAAGCTGATAGAAAGTCTGGAAAAGCAGGAGACGACGGTGAAAGGCTGGTAGAGAAAAAGAACTTTTGGCGAGTCCACTCTTTTATATCAGAATGAAAATAAATAAATTATTTTAATGCTTTGTTTGGAGCCAAATTGTTTGGGATTTGAAATTTAAATGGAAACAGAAATGGTATTGTATTGGAAATGAAATCTAGAGAGGAGGGAGTAGTTGAGTCCAAAACATGCGAGTATGGATGTGTGTGTTCTTACCTATGTAAAAAAATAAAATAAAAATAAAAAAAAAATATTGTTTGGGAGAAGCTGAAATTTAATTATAAAGGACATATTTTTTATCATTTTATTTTTATTAAATAAAATAGAAATTTTATTTTTTTCTAAGAAGGGTAAATTGGTAAGATAAAAATCTACAACTAAATTAATTTACAAATTCTATCAAATTTCATCATTTTTAATAGGTTTTGAGCCCTTTGAGGACACTATACTTTGGGATTCAAATCTCATGAAATTCAATTTTATTTTAACTTCTCGACCATGCTTAGCTACTCATCAGACTTTTTATTATTATTATTATTATTATTATTAAAGTTGATGTATTATTTTGTTATTATAATACATGAGTAGGAGTAGGATGAAGCAGTTTCACCCTACCCACCCTCATATGTTCCAATAACAAAATAACACATCAACTTTAATAACAAAATTAACAAAAATACTTTTTAAAAAAAATCAAATTAACTCGTTTTATTCAAGTAATCTCCCTTTCTCTTTCATCGCTGGCTCGAGGCCCTGATGGCTTGGTGGTTGCAATCAATTGTTCTGTTTGGAAGTGGAAAGGTGTTGTGCTACACTGCTAGGTTGGGCTCCATGCTTCTGTTGTGCATTTTCTTGGTGCTTGATTGGTCCGTGTTGTTTGCTTTGGGTGACTTTTGATACTTTCTCGTTTTGAGGTTTTGCCTTTCCCCGAGTCTTTTTTTTTTCAATATTGTGTTTATCTTTATTTTAAGATGTTTCTTCCAAGAACATGGCCCATAAAAATAAAAATAAAGTAAAAATTTTGGGAATATTTATTGAATGATGATTGAAAACCCTTTTTAAAAATTAAACCCTAAATGTGCAAAGTAAATAATTAAATCATACTTCCACCATAAGACCTAGTTGAACTCACAGTTCTTGCTTGCCTGTTGAATAATGATGTTCAATAGAATACGAGAGGAAAAAGAAAAATAATCCAAACACGAATCAGACATGTTTGCTCATTGATTGATAATGTCCCATGGAGGTGGGAAGAAGAAGAGTGAAGAGAGAGGAGGGCATGAGTCTAGGAAGCGATAAAAAAGAGAAATAAAATAGAAAGGGTGAAGAAGAAGAAGAACAGTGGAGAAAGGAGGGCATGGGTTTGAGAATCGATGAAAGAGAGAAAAAAGAAAAAGGGTGATTACCCAATTAAAACGGGTCGATCCGACTTTTTCTTCTTTTTTTTATTTTATTATTTTGCTAATTTTATTATTAAAGGTGATGTGTTATTTAGTTATTGGAACACATAAAAATTGAGTAGGGTGAATCTACTCACTGGTGAGTAGCTAAGATTTTTATTTTGAATTCCAAATCCCGTCATTTCAAACATAATGTATTTCTAAAAAGTATAGTGTAAAAAACACCACTAACATATACACGGCATGACACTTTCACTCCATATTTAAAAAAGTATGTTATTAACTTCTTTATTCTTTAAAAATTGAACGAGAAAACCTCTCAAATTGCTTTTTACAAAGATCTAACATAAAGTAATGTTGTCATGTCCATTTTTGCCTTTTTGTTTTTCGAAAATGTCCAAAGAAGTGTGTATGCTAATAGTATATGGGTGTTATATGCACATTAACAATCTTTAACTCACCTTTCAAAAAAGAAAATTCTCAATATTTCCCCTAACAATGTACTATCTCTATGCACTCTCTCTTTGAATTGACTATTGTACATTTTCTAGTACTTAAAGTCTATCAAAAGTTATAAAGTTCTATTTTTTTTTAATGGTAACGACCTGGGAACACTTATGTCCCAGGTTTGAACCTGTCTATCGTCATTATAACTCTCGACTGAAATTGTTACCGAGTGAGGTGTGGGGCCGTCAATAGCATCCCCTATTTGTAGATTGGGGTGGATCCCAAAGGAGCCCTGCCCAGGTGAGTTCCAGTGCCAGTCAAAAAAAAAAAAAAAAAAAAAGTAGAGATAAAAAATAAATAAATAAATTATTCTCACAGTTGTCTATATCATATGGAATGAAAACCTTTATTCTTTCTATAATTATAAATATATATATATATATATATATATATATATAATTAAAAAAAACTTAAAGATACTTATTCATTATATATATAGAGAAAACTGATCACTTACTCCCCATGGAGTAAGAAAAATAATCCACACTTTCTATATAGACCGTTAGATTAAATCTAACGGTCATTTCACAAATCTACCTATTGTCTTTTCTTTTAACACAAAACCATTCTCACCCTATTTTTAGTTTAATTAATTTTACCATTACCACCTACTGTAATAATAAAAGGTAATTATCAATAGAAACCTTTGAAAAAAAATAATTCTAGTATATTTTACTAATAAATTTGTTTTTATTTAAATATTTCTTTGAATGAAAAACAATACATGCATCTTGCTAAAAGGCTTGATAGTGTCGGGGTGCCTGGTTTTTCTTCAGTTTTTTTTTTTAAAACTAACTTTGAATGAGAAATCAAAGAGTAAGATCACTTAATTGGGAGAGTAATGGGGTTGGTGGGTATGATTAATTTATATTTGAAGCTTGATTTTTTCATGGTTCAGCATGATATGGAGAATATGTATATGTAGGTTTTCAAGGAGAGGCCTGAAAATACATTGGGAAAGATGTAGCTGAGATGTTAAGCGATGTGCACGATTTCGGGATTTAGAGGTGTTTCATGTTGTTTCAGAACCAAAGCTCTCATGGAAGACAGTATTATTGTTATAGTTATTTGTGCGTGTACGTGTGGATAACAATATTGTACAACTGAATAATGGAATCATATGACATTGACTTTATTCAAAATTGTTAAAGCTTAAACTAAATAAAACGAAAACAAAAATTTTAATCTCTTCATAAAGGGATGAAACTTAACAAAATTTAAAAAAATTTAATCCTCAAAGCCTTAAAGTTAACTCTTCCACAACAAATAAAAGTAAGGGAAAATTACATATAAATGGAGTCAAAGTTCCATATTTCTCTAAAATGGATTGCTGAGGTGGCACATGGTTTTTTACTGTTTAGAAAATTGTGGTGCCTAAAATGCCCTTCCCTAACAAAAAAGTAATACATTCAGTTCAAAAAAGTAGTACCTTCAGTTCAAAAAAGTGGTACCTTCGGAGAAAAAGTAGTACCTTCGCGAGTGTTTAAAAAACATGGTACCTGGACGCCAAAAAGTAGTACCTTCAGTTTAAAAAAGTAGTATCTTCAAAGAAAAAGTAGTACCTTCGCGGAAGGGTATTTTAGGCACCACAATTTCTAAACAGTAAAAAACCATGTGCCACCTCAGCAATCCATTTTAGAGAAATATGAAACTTTGACTCAGCCTCTAAGTAAATATGGAACTTTGACTCCATTTATATATAATTTTTCCTAAAAGTAAAGCTACGATAATTAATCTTTTTTCAAAGGTTTCTTTTTTTATTTTGATAATTACCTTTTATTTTGATAATTATCTTTTATTGTTATAGTAGGTGGTAATGGTAAAATTAATTATAGAAACTAAAAATAGGGTGAAAGTGGTTTTGTGTTAAAAGGAAAGACCATAAGTGGGTTTGTAAAATGACCGTTAGATTAAATCTAACGGTCTATATAAAAAGTATGGATATTTTTCTTGCTCCATGGGAAGCAATAGATCAGAACTATATATATATAGTTAAAAAAAACTTAAAAATACTTATTCATTATATATATATATATGTGCGTGTGTGTGTGTGTGAAATATACATTTAATTTTATAAATTTAGAACATGCAATAAATTTTCAAATATATATATATATATATATATATATATATATATATATATATATATATTTCTTTACCTAAAAACAAATGGGTGTTCAATTTTTACTAAAAAAATAAAAATTGCATCACTACCATCTGCTCCTTAATTTACACACACACATAAGGGATTTGATATAAGGGATTTATCTCATTTCTTACCTTTCTCTCATTTTAAACAACTCAAACACAATCTACATTATCTATTTTTTTTTCTCTTCAAATCCCTCAATCCAAACATACTCTACGAGAATTGTTATTATGTCCAAGTCAAGCTGTCGAATATCATTTCAAATCCCACATGGGCTCCCTTAAATAAATAAATAAATAAGATATGCTGATTAAAGAAACTAAAACTTAGGAGTGTTCATTTTATTTGTGAAATTGATTAAATTTATGCAGATCGATTTTTTTGGCTCATCGGTCCTGTGACGGATTCATAAATTAAAAAACCGAGGGATCAGTTTGGTTCACAAATTATGAGCTAAATTAGATTGGTTCACGAATTAGGGGCTAAATTAGATCCAATCCTTGTTGATTGAATCGAATTTTTAGCCCATCGACTCGATTACGGATTCATAAATTAGAAATCCAAGGAATCGGTTTAGTTCTCGAATTAGAATCTCAAAATTTCCATTAGTTAATAATATATACAAATATATATACTCCATATATAATAAAATTTTTAACCTTAAACCTAAACCCCCACCCCACCCCACCCAACCCCCTTTATTAGTCCCACACACTCGCTTCTTTTATCCGAGGAATCGATATTGTTTTGACTACTGAATATGATAATGTCCTTTGGTTGTTAACTTGTCGATTCTCTTTCATTGTTTTTTAAATATATGAAATCGTGTTATAAACTGATAATTCATCTATTAAATCCTGAAAAAAAACAAATTATTGAGATATTTGGAAAAGCTCAGTCAATACAATCAATTCAATATTGTCCAATTTTTGCGAATTAAAATTTTTCACGAATCGAATTGACTTTAATTTTCATCAATGCGTAAGAATCAAATTGTTTTGATTTAATATATATCATACAGATATATACCTTTGGGGCAATGTTCATATTAGTTTGTTTTTGTTCTTGAACTCCTTTTTAATCTCATACTGACATTTTTGGATCTTGAGAATAAAGAAGAATGAACAT